AAAAACGTTGCCCCACACTAGGATTTTCTCCTGTGTCGTGGGTGCGTTTACAAACATACAATATCACATACACATCACACCCAGACCCGAAACAACAATTTGTGGATCACACAAAGTGTTGTCCCGTGCGGGAATCGAACCCGCGACACGTTGCACGGCAGCCGGTTGCCCAGCCACCGCACCAACCGTGCAGTCAATAGTGAAAGAAGTACTTACTTCCTTATCCTCGATGAGCGTCGCGACTCGGCCAGGCTGCAAAAAAGAAATTAGAAACTGTTAAGTCACTGTTTACGAAATTATTCTCGTGATAACACGATAATTTTATAGTCTATCATCAAAATAACATGTTTTTAACAGTTTATTGTGTGTTTTGTTTTCGAATTTTAAAAACAATGTCTTGCTGATTTAGTTTGTTTTTGTTTTTGACCCCTACGTTACTGCATAGTTTTATGTTAATCGCACAGATAATAATATAGAGGTTGTGGGCAATCTAAGATAATTATCATCCTCATCAATACATAGTATAAAACAAAGTCGCTTTCGCTGTATGTCCGTATGTATGCTTAGATCTTTAAAACTACGCAACGGATTTTGATGCGGTTTTTTTTAATAGATAGAGTGATTCTTAAGGAAGGTTTGTATGTATAATACATGCATATTGCACCCGTGCGAAGCCGGGGCGGGTCGCTAGTATTTTATAATATTTATTTACATCTTTCAACATGTGTTATGTTGTTCAAATTCGCATTTAGTAGTTGGCGATAATTCGCAAACATTAAATACAAAAACCCATACGTATTACACTAAGTAACACAATAAACAAATGTAGGTAATGCTATCCTTTTGGGATAGATATTTTACTCTGCAAAATTTCCAAGCATCATGCCAAAATATTAATAAAAATTGTACTAGAGGGCGTCCATAAATTACGTGAGATTTTAAGCGGGGAGGGGGGTAGACTCAAAACTCATCTAATCTTACTTATGACAGAGGAAGTCTCGGCAAACATCACGTAATTTTTTTTCTGATTGAAATAAATAAGAAATTATACTATTTTAGTCCATTTAATCCAGACTGTAGAGTTTTTTTCCTTTTGCAATAACAATTCAACGCCCTTACATGAAAAACCAACATTTTGAAAAATCGCACGTGGGGTCGGAGTATGGGGGGAGTGTTGAATAAAATCTCACGAAATCTCTTCACCAGGGGGGGAAGAAGGTACAGAAAATAAAAAAAAAACACGTCACGTAATTTATGGACGCCCCCCTAGTAGAAATTTCAGTAAAAGTAAACAAATTTTTAATAAATAACGAACATTAGAACAAAATACTGTACAACACATACCAACGCGCTATCGTGGGTGTGTATTTGTGTATTTTGACGCGAATTTTTTTAAAAATAGGTGAGAGCGTGATATGCGCGTGATCGCGTATTACGCAGTTAATCTAACGTAAATAAACTAGCATGGTTCGTTGACGTGCTAAATTTTTTTATAGGTATAGAACGCAAACGAGCATTCGTATCACCTATATTTTATATGCAAATATTTACTTAGACATGTTCTACTACTTTTCATTGTTATTTGCGAATCTTTTTATGCCTGGCCTTGATTTTATTTTGATGAAATTATTATTTTCTCGTATAATGATAAGTTTGAAAACATCACTCGTCTGTGTTTATATGAAACAGATGTTTTTAGGCGGTGTGTTATTAAGACTGCCATTTTTACCATACATAATATTCACTGTTCCTTGTTTAACTCGTCGAGTACCGTCATTATAGACACAATTATAGAACAATAGGTTGCGGTCACCGGTGACCGCTTGGTGTTTGACGGTTTAAATAAATATGTGGGTGAATACAATTATTGCTCGAACTCTAGAGCAACCTTTTATCATGTTATAACTTCCAATATATGCTTAGTAAAATATTTTAACTAGTAATAATCTAGGCATTAACACATGAACAAAACTAAATATCCCCTAGCTCAATTAGCAGCAGTTGCAGCTATTAATTAGGTTCAAAGGGGTTACCCGATTAGTTTCAAGTCACGGCGGGGTCCATACATTAAAGTAATAAGTTTCAGTTTCGATGTAAAATATGACAAAGTGAAAAATGAAGTTAATTTTCTGAATCATCTCGAGCGACAGATAAAATGAGGTGAAGCATTAAATCGTCATGAAACTGGAATACAGTTGGTAGGTATCATCATACGATATGAGTTTAAAAGGTCATCGTTAATTACTACAGTCCAAGATAACATAATGATAACGAATTTGTACAAACAAAACGTTTTAGCATTAACATTGATTGTTGTAACTTTCAGTAGAATTATCAAATTAGGTAGGTACTGTTATGAGTAGGTACAATCAGATCGAAACTTCTGGATCAAATATAGAACTAGGTAACTAATCCAGGTAGTATCGGAATGACGTGGAGCCAGGTGAAGCAGGAGCTCGAGACCGATCGAGATGGAGGACCTATGTGGACGCCCTCTGCCCCATCTAAGGGGACCTTAAATCAAGTAAGTCAAGAGTCTGCCACTCCCTCTTGCCTAAACCAAGGCGGGAGAAGTCATTGGATGATTTCCCCCCTCAAAAAAATTATCTGAATGACGTGGAGCGAGATGAAGCGGGAAGGTCAACACCGATCGAGATGGAGGATCTGCCCTCTGACAATATTTGTTGATTAATCAACCAACTAACGACGCGTTAATAAAACCAACTATGAAAACCTGTGAAAAATAGGTTACAACTACTTATTGTAAAATAAACAATGTTATCGTCTTAACAGATAGGACTTAACTAAATCCCTTTAGTCAGGCTACTTACAAAGATATCTTTAGGTCCGTCATATTTATGGAAGTTATCCTATGTTTATTATTATGGCTCGATAGCTATGTTATGCTGTTTTAACGTTCATTTACTATAGTGTTGTTTGTCTTATCTTTCTTCGTAGACTGTCTGTCTACTAGTCATTGTAGACTTTGTATTTTCACCATATCTACTTAAGACATCTACTTAGTTATAGGATATCTTTGAGCTGCATTGGATGCCTGAATGAAGTAGTTACGTTGCGAATAAGTAGTTGACTATTTTGTCAATATTATAAGTTTAAACGATAGTAAACATTGCGGTTTAAATATTTAACAATAACAAAGTTATTGTTTGACATATAAATATATACATATACATTTAAAACATTAAAGGCACGATTTAAGATGAGCCCATTTGGGACACCAATTGGTCCTTTAGGCACATCTTAATTAATACCCAGATATGCTAAGATCTATATAGAATGTTGGTAAAATAACCACAAAACTAACTAAGACTCGACGAAAGCACTTTATAGCTTTCTGTCTAAAAAGCTGTTAGTGTTTCCATTCGATATCGATAAAATTTGCTTACAAAGCACATTCATAACTGAAACTTTCGGTGTGCTTGATACCTATACCTTTGGGTCGTCCTTCACGGTGCAACTGTTCAGAGGTCATTTTATTTCGAGGTTTACAAGCCATTGACTTTTAAAGCCTTAGTGGTAGGTAGTTAGTTCAAAGTCGCCATGTTTGTTTGTCTAGTTTAAAATTAAGTAATTTAATGCGTCATGTGATATTTTTATTAAGTAGTTATCTTTTTAACAGAATATTGTCACCTACCTAGTTAGTTATTGAAAAATAATATTTTAGTGTGATGTAAATATAAATGTAGTAATACATACATGCATCACAATCTATTAATCAAGATGGAGATATCTACCTAGTTATAAAACAAAAATATTGGGACCCGCTGGATGCAGCTCGCTTCCAATCGACCTATCTGGAAGTCATTGGGGGAGGCCTATGTTCAGCAGTGGACGTCCTATGGCTGATATGATGATGATTGTTTGTTGCGAATTTAATGCGTTTCATAGATTGTGACGAAAATATTTTGGTGATAGGTAGTTAAGCTATAATTTAAAAACAAAAATATTATTGAATTGAAAACTTAATGCGTTTCAGAATTTTGTTGTGATGATTTCTTAACTTTACGAGCAGTGGCCTAGTTAAATAAAAAATGATGTAAACAATAACAGTTTATTAATCATCGGTGATGAAATGAGACTGAATATCGTCTCTTCTTATTTTTTAAGATTAAAGAGAACACTTAATTGTACCTATGTTTTATTTTTTAAATCAGTTGTATATTTTAGTAAACTAATTATTAAGAACTACGAATGAATACAACATTTTAAAGGAAGTCAGTAAAAGAAATCGCGTCACTGATGCCTTCGTCAGTTTACTTACTGACAACTCAAACAATTGAACAATCAACATAAAACAAAATTTGCTTTAATGTTCCTCGTTCTTGAGAACGGAAGATTCGAGGGAAACAATGCACCCCACATTCCTTGCTAAAGTAAACTCGACCTTGAGTGACGTGTTGAGGATGCAACAGAAACAAATGAACTACTCTAACGTCATTTAAGCAGAATTTGCTGTGACGTCAGATTTTGCTAAAAGAGGATAACTGATGTCAGCTGTTACAATAGGTATTTGTGACGTAACAGGAAAGTACATATATGGATGGTACTACGGAATTATGCGTAAATATTCAAAATAAACCATTTTATTGTTAATGAATAAATTATCAGTATGAATGCAGAGTAGATTCTGTAGTACTTAAAAGAGGGTTGTTAATGTCTTGAGAACTACTTTGATAATACTTATGTGCGATGCGCAGACGTACCTAACTATTTTAACTGTACAGTTCAAATAACTAGTTAGCGAGTTATTTATATATATCTTTAGTCAAGTTTAAATTAATGAATTGACTTTGTTTTCAACTAAAGCCTGGTCAACAGTGGTTCTCCTTCAATTTAAAGAGGGAAAATCAGTCTTATATTTGTCAAAAACAATGTTGACCTCGTCTATATTTGAGTTTTAAAACAACGTCGGGTGATGCGTCAACGCATTTTGTGTGAAAGTGCATTAACCTTGAATCTTAGCCAGTTCGACGTGTGCCATTAAAAACTTGAAGGTTATTCATTAGGGAATTTCACTGCAATTGAGGGTTACATACATTTACACCCAGAGCTAAATAATTAACTAGGTATTATGGGTGTATCTTTTCCTCTTTTGGCTTTCATTGCAGTTAGCAGAAATAGTAGAAATAGTTGCCACGTGAATAATGAGCACTTAGTTATACAATTCCTCAATTCCTAACTAGTTTTTTGGTCTCATAAAACAACTACAGACTTTGCAATTAGGTTCTAATTGCATGCGAGCACAGGTGACTCGCCGCCCTACCAGAACCAGGCCCGAGCGTACAGCGCGTCGCGTTCCGCGCGCGCCTCAAAGAGCCATCAGACCACCACGGATAGGGCCCAACAGGGCTAATGCCGACATGGAGCCGCGGAAGACTTAACGGGTTGCCGGGGCTCCGGCTCGAAGTGCAGGAGTAGGAACGGGGTGGTTTTTAGTCAGTAACAGTCTGCCACTCCCTCTTGCCTCACCCGGGCGGGAGAAGTCATGGATGATTTTCCCTCCTCAAAGTTCTAATTGCATATTTGGGAGTTACTTAAATCATATTTTTAAGTGATTTATGCTGCCAAATCTAGCATTTGGGAGGAATTTAACAGCATAATGACATTCTCCCACCTCTTGTAAAGATGATGTAATGCAAGCAGACATAATAGCAGACCAGCTAACACACCCATCATTCGTGTCCGTGGATCCAGCTTAAATGTGAAATATGAAAGCCGAAAAAACGCAACTAGCACTTCGACTTGACATAGTTATTTGTAGCCATTTTCACTTTCGGCAAACGAGAATCGCGAGTGTTTTTCGATTACCGACTTGTTACATTTGAGGGCATTTTCTAATCTTTATTTAACTAGATAATTTGCATGCCCTTTGCGTAGCTCGCTAAAACAGGCAGAAAGTTAGTAAGTACATTCCGTTGATAATGTCTTCATTATCGAATCACAGGATATCGTGAACCGAATTTCGCGAGTCAATTGACGAGTTACTGCGAATGAGTTATTAGACTAGGTAGTTTTATGTCTATTAGAATTTATCAAGATAGATTAAAACTTCCGTGAGACATACTATTAATTAATTAATTATTATGTTTTTCGGCTTACTCAAAGTAGCGGCGCGACAGTCGCTGCGACGCGGGTCGCGGAATGCTACTCATGAATACGAGCCTATACCATGGCTTGAAACTAGTCGAGATCTTCGTCAAATAATTACGTGAGTGAGGCGAAAAAGATAATGACTTAGCAAGTTATGAATAATAATGCTTTTGGGTTGATTTTCGCAAAGTTGATTTACACAATACAGGAGAAAATTCTCGTGTGGAATAACTATAATATGATTAACTAGCATTTATAAAGGGAAAAATGAATTAACTATAAAATTATTGACATACCAATACTAGGTACTATAGTTTAACCAATCTATTTAACACTTCAAAGGTATTTTATCTTCGACAAGTGCAATTCTAATACAACACATAGGTCATAAATGCACTTTCCATGTGATTATGATTAGCTAGCCATAAATTATCTAGGCATAAACTAGGTATTTTATGTCTAGACCAGATTATAGATAATCCTATTTCACATTATGATTTAAGTAGGTACAATATTTACACTAGATAGACACACTAGGTAAATATATCTACTTATCTAGGTAGGTATTATATTTATCGGACTATAAGCTGTTACCTGCAGCTTCGTCTATGCGGTTAATGGAAAAATATTTCAAATTCAATTCAAATTACTTGTCTGTACATTTTTATGTATAGATATTATATTAGTCTATTTCTCCAGCTTCCTAATTGTCTTCAGATAAAAATATTTTACAGTTCTGATCCATTTAGCTATAATATATGACATGTAATTGAGGATGGAGTCCATATCACTGTGGCCGATTTGATATTGGCCAGGATTAATTTATAAGATAGAATAAGTTTCTTTTTCCCAATACTATTTAAACTGTCAAACACCAAGCGGTCACCGGTGACCTCAACCTATTGTTCTATAATTGTGTCTATAATGACGGTACTCGACGAGTTAAATGTTATTATAGAACTTTAAGTTAGTGGAATGAAAGTGGACATACACCCGGGCCAGTAGTTAGGTACTAATTTGAAAAAATTCAGTAATTTTTTTCCAATCACCTTGAATAATTTGTAATGTAAAAATAATTACACACATACTTATCGAGGAAAAAATTATAAACACAAACATTATAGTTCAATGAACTTAGTCTAAAGTCAAAACAAAACAAATCTAATTGCTATGTATGTAATTACTTTATTATTTGTATAATACAGAAAAAGCTAGAAATAGTTCATTTTGTTAGCAGTTTTACCGGCTTATTCCATTTTTAAAATACGAATTCATCTCAAAAAAAAAGATATTCTCGCTCTTTTGTCGAGATGACGCAAGGAGGTAGGAGGTCACGATCATAAACTTTTTTGTAAAATTACCTTCGATTCGGTCCCTCGGTGAGTTGTGTTGCCTTGCCAAAATCTTCTTGAGAATCCTTTAACGTAACCAGTGATTGATTGCTGGTATTGAAACCCTGGGTTCCAGCAAAGGGAACCATAACCAAACACCCAGAATGGTTCCTTCCTCGCTTCCATTCCATTACTCCTATCTTCTGACATATCCATTGTGATTTTCAATACAATTTTATGTTATAAATCTAATTTTAATTGAAAATTTTCTCGTACAACACTTCGCGATTTCAAATAAAGAATGGAAAATTAGAAAGCGCAAGACCGAGTCGCGTACTCGTATCACAGACTATTAAAACTCCACTTTTATTATTCTACTTGTGTCTCATTGTTGTTATTTAGTTTAGTCACAAACTAAAATATAATAAGCACTAAATATGTTATTTAAAACTTATACGACCACCCATTGCGCTCTCATATTGCGGACTGTCAGTTGTCATTTTTCGTTTTGTACTTTACGGCAAAATAGGGCGCGCAATTACGTTTCGTTCGACGCCGACTTCACATTGCGTCAAATATTCGTCGTTCGACAATTTTGTTTAAAGTACTCGTATGTTATGATTTCAATGAAGTTTATGGACACAAAAATTATTTGAAATATTTTTCTTAGCTAGATTTATCTAAGAACTGAACAAAAATTATGTCAAGTTATCGCAAAATCTGCTATTTTGTCTGCGTGAATGGAATGTCGGCGCAGATATTTTTATTATTGTTGTGGTAACTGGATTTTCCCCCGCCCAATCACCTTTCTCCTTGACGAGAGCTTGACATTGATTGGTGGTTACTGTCTGATGCAATTTTTTGAATGCCTTACAACAATAATGCGGATTGCGGTAATTTTATAAGAATACCATATTCGTATATCTAACGTAGGAATACTATGCGGGATTTTTAACACTGCAGTATATGAATGACCACTATGAAAAAATAATTAACAGTAAATTTATGACTTTTGCAATGTTTTTATTTAGGTAACACGTTTTAGCCCTTTTTTTAGATCATTCTTGTCTGACAATATATTTTAGACAGACGACCTGGCAAACGTTGACTAAACCGCTGGATGCAGATCACAAAAAAGGTTAAACGGATGCTGGTGGGAATCTGGGACTGATTAAAAAAAGGACTATGCTCAGTAGTGGTTATCTTGTCATTTTGAGTTTGATATTATCTACAATAGGTAGGTACTTGTTATTGCTGCAGTTGCTGCATACCGGTCATCGGTTTGACTTCCCGACAAATTGTTGTCCCGGGTTTAGGTGTGATGTCTTATATTGTAAGTAAACGCATTCTACAACGCTACCTATGCTGTTTTTGAGAAAAGATATTATTATTAAGTTGGCGCAAAACAAAAAATATGTTGGTATAAATGGTACCTACCTATTAGTAGTTTTTTATGCTAGACATATATTTCGATTACAATAATGTAAAGTCCCGTAAAATGAAACATACGTGTGATAGCCATATTGGTATTGTGTTATTTCAAACAAAACAATTAATTATTGCTCAGACAATGGAAAAGTAATCAAAGGAAAACCAATAATAAAAATTACCATATAAGTAGGAACTATGTTTTTTCTATGACGAAGTAGGTAGATAGGTATCTACCTGCTTACCTACTTATTAGGTGTTGATCGACTATATCTAGGAGTGATTCGTGACTTTATGGGGTCCAGTCCAGGCGCTTACTCTTGAATCCAATTCCGATCGATCGACATTTGTAAACGCACTCATGACACAAGAGAAAATCCTAGTGTGGGGAAACAGTTTTTTTAGAGGTAAATAAACAGTTATAGATCAGGCTGGATGGGTTAGTGGCCAAAGACTGACTTGTCAAGTTTATAAAAAATGCTTAAATATTTGGTTGGCTATTAAACCGTGGGACTAATCAATAGGCTTTTTGTTTATGTGGCTCCAAGTGTTTCCATCAAACAAGAAATTGAAAGATTTTCGGTTTTTTGAAATTCAGACTTATGACAACAGTCTTAATGAAGTCCTTTATAAATAGGACTTGACTTACCTACTGATGAAAAGTGATGTCTATGGGGATCTGTGCCTATCTTGGAAGGAAAAGCGTGATGTTCTGATAAAATATGTTTATTATCAATATTTTATTATGCGTAGGTACTACCTACAAATTAACTTTTATTGTTCTTCATCTGTATCAAATAATTGGATTCCACTAGTAGGTAATATCTATCTAGCATTGAAACATCTAAGTGGTATTTGTAAATATTTTGATAAATAAAACAATTTAGGTATGTTTGTTTTTATTAAAACCGCAAATATTCGTCTATTGATTAAAATACACCACAGATAAAACAATAGCTAGATTAGCGCGCGAATTGCCTATCGACAAAAGAATAAAACTTCAAAAAGGTTCAATACAATGGTCCATATATTTTCATAAAGAATAAAATCACAATGCATTAGTTTATATTTTACATATTATAACAGACACGGAGTATTAAACGGTTACATATTTCATTATAATTGGCGAAACGTATTTATTTATTTTTTATCCACAATAATGATAATACGGATCGAACGTGCTATTACTCTAGATAGACAAAATACTGTGAACAATTCAACATCAATATTGGTAAAATTGAGAAACTAGATAAGTAACTTACTTATTTTATTTTATTTTTTATTGACAGGTAATGTAATATTATATCAAATTAATGCTAGAAAAACCTGTCCACTAACTTTTTTTTAAACTTGTTAATTCCTTTGCGGATAGATAAAAAATAATGTGCTACAAAATCTTTCTTTTTCTTAACTTTTTTTAAACATTTATTTGACATAATTCCATTTTCATAATATCATTATTTGGTTTAACTTTGTAATAAGATAAATTATGGAATGACTGATTCTAATTACACTTCCATTCTATTTTTTATATTTAGAAATCGAATTTATGGATCTTAAGTAGGGATAACTTAATTGTCCATTTTTCTCTGTAACTGGAATTCCAGAATGGAAAAATTCTAACATGGAATGAATGTGCATTTTATCAGAAACTAATTGTATGATAAATACTTATTTATTTTATCTTTTTGGAATCGATATACTATGTGAGATTAACACGTGACTGGCCTTTATTTACAGTGTTTTTGATGATGTGATGCTTAGAGTGGAATTAAACCTAGTACATAGAATTCGCTCACCAAGAATAGAACTTCACAATCTTAGTTTTGAGCGAAATATTCTTCGAATGTGGAGAAAATTCTAGAAACAGAATGTCGAATTTAATTTGATTTATATAATCTTAGGTAATGAGTACTTAGCAATGTGCCTGTACAATGCAATTACGTGAGAGATGTACATTCTGACGAAATTGAAACCTGTAGACTCTCTCGTATGCATAAATTAGGACTTATTTGAAGTAAATTCCGACATAAACCGAGTATTTTTCTTACCCTAAAACATCCTTAAAAGAAAATAACAAACTGTTTCTCGAATTGACATCACACTCTAAAATAATCAATACGATTAACTGCACCAACAATTTGTCAAATCATAGGTAACTACCAACACTATAATATTGAGATTACATATTAATTCATAATTAAAATATCATTAAATCTATTTTAAAAGCGATTTAATATCCTCATTTTGCGATATTTGGCTTCAAATTTATTTTCCATAATGGAAAATATTTTTACAAGGCAATGTTAGGATGTGTTTCATATATTGCTCTGTGGTTAGTTTGGATAGACAATATAAAGGGTAAACCCTATTCTACACCTTAATGTTAGTCATCTTACTTATACAAATACTGAATGACGTATTATATATAGGAAGATATTGGGTATTAACCCTTACACATTGCAGTACCACGTAATATTTTATGCATTCTCTAAAAATATTTTAATATTAATGCTAAGTGAACTGCAGTATATGTAACACACCCTGACATAGCAATTACGCTAAATACATTTAAAATTGTGATGGTCATTTATCTATCAAAGCTAACAATGCAACTATTTACAATCAGACTTTTTACAATACACATACAACAATATTATTCAATATAACATTCATTTTGATACATCTCAACGTTCAAAAATTACATACATATATTTTTTCCATTATTGAATATATATTCATAATTATGTATACATATAATAATATGAATAATTAATGTTCCTAAATATTATTTAATACTATGTTCCTGAACACAGGACAGGTACGGTTAAAATGTGTTTTATATATTTGATTATTATTTTTATTTATTTATTTATTTAATATGACTAGTGATATGTAACGATAACTTTACATAGGGTATGGTAAAACAGAATAATTTTATTTTTCAAACATCATTCAACGAGATTTCTTGACAACTACAATTATTCAATAACTATAATTTAATTATATTGAGTTTGATGACATTTAATATTTAATCTTATATTTACAATGCACCACAGGGTAAATCTATTTTAAAATCTAATTTTTCAAACAAATCAGGCTTTTTGGTAGTTCCTTTTTCTGGACAAGGATTTAAAATAATGTGTAACATAGAGGTAGGTAGAGAATATCAAACAAAAATCCTAATAAACACTAATTTATTATGCGATAAATTTAATTATACCAGAAATTATTATGATGCCATTCAAATATTTACAATTTACTTTGCGATAATAATTTCCACATTCATTAAACCTATAAGACCGTATCAGATCCAAATTTTTATTGCCTATATTGTAATTTTGGTCACTTATTTAACATTCACAAGAAAATATATATATTATACCACCAGTATACCTATGTATAATATAATTTATTTTAACATCTGTCAAAACTATGCGCTATGAATATAACTATTATTTTTTTATAATGAGAGATTTGAATATATTTATATATTAATAGATACGTGTATAGAAAGATGATTATCATTCCATTCTGAAGTTGGAAACTTGAAAGATTCTAATAAATATAAGGAAATCTCCCGTATTCATTCATTAAACTTGAAAAATCGTCTCTCATAGTTCAATAACAGATAAGAATATAATATCTACATAAATATATTAATATCCCATTTAATTATCGATTGAAATATTTTAAAGAGTTGATGATACTCTAGTATTCAACCCAATTTTGGCAAAAGCCATTATATTCCATTATATAATTCCAATTTTAATCTTTATTTACAATGACGTCTTAAACGTCAACTTAAGTCGGTTCCAACATGGCACCGACTTAAGTGGAATGCTTGGATCATACGTTCGACTCGGGGCCTTCCGTATTATGTTTGAATGAAGCTCGGATCCTGGCCAGATATAGGGCGCAGATGTGACCATAGCATTTGTTGTACCATTCTGGCGTTCGGCCCCTGAAAAAAATAAATTTGTTCTCATTAATTTCACAGCACTTTCCTTCCATCTTCTTCTGGATTATGGGCCTCCGTTACATAGAAAAAGTTTTGTTATCTTTGTAGATTTAACCACCTTCGTGGGATAACCCCAACCGATGGTTTCATGAACTTTAAGTGTGGGAGAGCCATGCTTCTGCACGAATGGGTCGGCTTGACAGGGGTGATACGACGGCCTCACAGAAAACTGACGTGAAACAACGCTTGCATTGTTTCAGTGAAGTTACCAGAGGCCCAATTAGGTCATTATTTTTAGGCCAGTTGATTGCATTTAAGTTACGACCTCATAAGATTTTTTTTTATTAATAAATAATAAATGTATAGTATGGAAAATGTCTTACATGGTATCAACTCTGGCTAGATGTACCAGTCTGCTTCGTCCTTTACCAGCGGGTTGCGCTAGGTAACGCGAGGCTAGTACAACTCCTCGAGACGCGGAGGGAGCTCCTCCCGGTCCACGTGAAGTGCTAGGTGGGGCCGACGCATGTGCTACCGACGTCTCGGCTACTGCGCACCAACCGCCACCTCCACCGCCCTGCTGCCATGATCTGTAAAGAGGAAATTAATTAAAATCGAACATCAATAAATAAAACCGAAAAATAACGAAGTGGCTTTATTTGATATTAAAATCTCGTAAGCATATGTGCGTGAAGGAGAGGAAATATATAAATTGTCCCGAAATATTGTCATTTATTTTATACGATTGCCTCGTTGGTCGAGTGCGACTGCCGGACAAGGGGTCTCTGGTTCGATTCCCGGGACGGGCAAAGTATTATTGGGTTTTTAAAAAATTCAGTAGTTAGCACGGAGTCTGGAATTGTGCCCGGTATATGGCAATAGGCTCACCCCCTAATACATGGGACTCATAACATATATAGTGAAAAGTGGGTGTTACATTGTTCAGTGGCATTAAGTGCCGTAGATAATGTGCACCTCTGTCTAGCCCTTCGGGGATAAAAGACGTGATGTTATGTGTTATGTGTGTGTATTTTATACGATGAAGTATTTTTTTTTTGCTTGGAAGAATTTCGTAATATAAACAGGTATAGTTTATTAAGTACTTACCGTAACACACAATAATCTCGTGACGGTAGATTTATGCTTGAGGCCGTGACGTACTGGAACACCTCAGCGTTGGTACCGAGCTTCTCAGCAACGCGCCATTTAACCAATGAATCGTCCCAAATGTGCCGCTCTCGGAGTATCCTGGAACATTCAAAATTATATTAATGTAACGAATACAATAAAGGTAAATTAAACGAAATTTCATGTGTTTTTTTGTCAAACTATAGATACGTAACTCTCAGAATGGATTTTTATAGATAAGTCGAAATCGTACCTTTGCATAACCTCCTGTGGCGGCGCTTCTACGTCTGTAGTTGCTCTCCATAATCTTAACGGATGTCCATCACCAACTTTCTTACAACACAGTTCCACGTGAGGAGCGGCCCCTGATACCGACATCCACCCACGTGTTCTGCAATTATAGAGTCTGGGTAAGATTCCATTTTGAGAATGGGTATGAAACAATAAGCCTGAAAATTCTAATTAAACACCGGAACATGCGAATCATCCACAAAAAATAGAAAACTTTGCAAATTATTCTTGTTATTAGTAAAATCAATTTGACAGACATAATTGTCGTTCTCAAAACTAGTCATTCAATTCATTTTGCGTTTTTAAAACAAAGATACATTAGTATTTATCAGCCATTTTTTTGTTTAGTAGCTTCAGCCATGATGATTATAATTCACCACGTATTTTTTTATAACCAGTCCTTAGTAATTTTAATTCATACTCATTATTCAAAGCTCTTTTGTCTAAAAACTTGTCTAAAACAAAATCCATCTATGAATAAAACAAGCAACATTTAGATTGAAAAATGAATATGCTACGTAAACACCTAGGTGGCCATGATAGGGCTGCAAATGTCAGTGATATGATTCTCAGTGTTTTAAATGACATATATTGGATATAAAATATCTGTTCTTGATTGATATGGACCATCACAATGAATTACTGACTCTATTATATAATACAACTAGCTTCTGCCCCACGACTTCGTACGCGCAATCCCGTTTTCTCCCGTTTCCGTAAGATTTTCAGGATTTTTTTCTGTCATAAAAACCTTCTCCTGACAATAATAAACACAACAAAAAAAAATCAGCCGAATCGGTCTAGCCATTCTCAAGTTATGGCGTGACAACGGGAAACGGGTTTCATTTATATATATATATAGGTAAAATATAGACGATTGTGAACATAAGTATGAAAAATTATAAAATTCGAACTAGTATACTTACGATAAAATATAGATAAATAGGTTTATAATAGTTACTATAGAAGCATAGGAAAATATGAATGTACTTAATGAAGTATCAGGAAGTAACCTTAATTTTCCGCATGTATGACTTGCATCGTATCACACTACTAACCAAAGAAAGAGGAAATAGGATTACTTCAGTGACTTTCCCAATTCCAATGTTAGTCATTTAATTGATCAATAATAAGGAAAATATAGGTAACTACTAGGCATTACAAATTTTCGTAAAATAATTGCTAGAGAAATGCTGTATGAAAGAAAATAGTTTTTTTTTATAAACTAAGTTTAAAAGACCGACGACATATCCCTTTTTTTTAGAAATCGGTTAAATAATATATACTTAAACCTTATCCTAAATGTAACAAACACTTTTCTCAAAACCGCATGTAAATCGGTTCAGCCAATCCCGAGATAATCGCGTACAAATATACATACATACGGCTTAAACTGTCAAACACCAAGCGGTCACCGGTGACCGCAACCTATTGTTCTATAATTGTGTCTATAATGACGGTACTTGACGAGTTAAAACAAGAACCTCATTTTTGAAGCCGGTTAAAGATGTCGCTATCAATAAAGGACAGATATTTTAAAATCAATGGTATGGTGGATATACGCTCTAACACCGATGTCTCACCTCTTTCCTGATCGGCCACAGACTCTAAAAAAGCATGAAAAAAGTTAGACTCTATAAGAGATAAGTTTACATAAAGAGATTTTGAAGAGAATTGTGATTTCAGAGTCTACAACAACTTTAAGGATATTGGAATTTATATCTTTTCAAAAAGTGAATTAAACTTACTTTTCTTTGGCTTCTTTTAGTAATGCTTTTATGCAGGCTTGCTGGAAACCTTTCCAGTCTTGGTTGAAGTCTGCACCCAATTCTTCTAAAGCGACCTGGAATTACAGAATGGATTAGTATTTTTCCAGTAGTTCAAACAGTTATTCCATGACAAATATTATTGAGGAAGTGAATGACATCAGGTCATTCATAATATTGACTAATTGTAGGAAATAGGTAAAGAGTATTATACAATGAATGAAGTATTATATATGGGAAATTTTATTCTACATTATAATATCTACATCCTTTGTGAAACCCAAGTCTTTCATTTCTTACACTTTATTGTATGGTGTGACGAGGTGACATCATGAAATGAATATGACAATATTGAATTATTCTCACCACAACAGAATAAAATGGACAAACATGCGATAATAATTAATTACTAAGCGTCATACGATGTCACATTACATACTATGAGGGTTCCGTATTTTTCTATACTAGGTGGCGCTAGTGTGCTACCGCGTTTTTCGACGAATAGGAAATTAGCCAGTATAACACCTTAGGAAGTATTATTTGAAAGCTGCAGTAATTGGAGAAAACTTTTCTTTCTACATTTGCGCAAAATGGTTCCCAAAAATACGATAACCTCAACCTCCATTCCTTCACGATTCTCACCACTTTCCACCAATTGTAGTGTATAATTTTTACTCCAATCCGAAAGCAAAAATAGTTAGTTATTCTTTTTAGCAATATTATTTGACATCTTAAAGTTGTTGAACTCCCGATACGGCCGCGGAATGCCTAACGGGTTGCCGGGGCTCCGGCTCGAAGAGCAGGAGTAGGAACAGGGTGGTTTTTAGTCAGTAAGAGTCTGACACTCCCTCTAGCCTAAGACGGGAGAAGTCATTGGATGATTGTCCCCCCTCAAAAAAAGAATTGTTTACCTTCTGAGTTGATACATACATACATAAATACACGCCTGTCTCCCATGGGGGTAGGCAGAGACTAGGGAACGCCATTACTACGATTTCTACATACCTCTTTCGCTTCATCAACAGTCATCAATATTTTCATGCATGCTCGTCGGTTAAGGATACTTTTAATTTGGCCCTTCTTTAATATATCGCCAATCTGGTCACTATATGTCTAAGGATTGCCTTCTGAGTTGATTTTATATTATAAGTAAAACGAGTAAAACTATTGCAATAGTCACTCACCGGAACACTCTCTTCGAAGTAATTGAACTTGCACCTGGCCAGCATATCAGCTGGTGCTAAGAACAGCTGCTGGTGTTTCTGGATAAGGAGTAGGAGACACGCATGCGCTGCTCGGCTCTCGCTGATCTGGCGCTGGTCTGCTACACTCTCGATAACCATTCTGGAAATGGAATTTTAGGTCTGATAATGGATTTTTTGGAAAAAGTGGTATTTATCTGCTGAGGTCCACTTTAATATTATTATTACCTATATTGTGTTTTTTATATATTTAATTTCTGTTATTATTGTATTGTAGGTACATATTTTGTCATACATTGTTGTTTATTGTTCTTTATTTACTCTTTTAAGTTTTGTATTAATATTTTGTGTTATCTAAGTAATTTGTAATTCTATTTTTAATTTTTATAATCTTCGTTTTCGTGTGTGCCTTCTTGCCAAATAAATTCTTTTTCTTTCTTTCTTATCTGTATCTAAGGAAAGAGTGAAAGAAATAAAAGCCATTTATTACGCAATATGCATAATTATACATCTACGGTTATACTGTTTGGAGCACAACATGATATAATTGCCTAAATCCCAACAACCGGAGGCCCAATTACCTTCCCCTTCCCCAATTTCCCCAATCCCTGAATCCCCAACGATCCTCAAACTCCTAATCCCCAAAAAGCCGGTGACGCACTTGTAACGCCTCTGGTGTTCTAGATGTCCATGGGCGACGCCGATTGCTTACCATCAGGTGATCCGTCTGCTCGTTTACCGGCTTATGGCATAAAAAAAAAAGTATAAATGATACAAATAAAAATGAAAACAAAACAAAACTAGGACCATAGTCCAATAAGGACCATGATTATAATTTTGGTACTTTTAAAAAAAAAATGGTCGGGTGAATATTAAACTTCACAAACCTATTGGAATTTCCTTCTTTAGTGCTACCAGTTTGTGGTGGCGCATGATGCAGCCTCAGCAACGTAGGGGCTAAGCAGACAGCCAGGTTTGATGCTGTCATTTGATTTACTGCTGAATGTTCTGCCACCTGCAAAAATAATTGTAAATGATAACTTTTTAACGACTTCAATATAATTTTAGGAGCTGGTTATATTAGCATACTAGTATTTGAACATCTGTTAGTACTGAATATTGTTTTCTAACATGATATTTACACCTTCTTCACCCAGTTATCTATCCCCTTACTTTCAATACTTATGCGCAAACCACAGTAAAAATCTTCGTTCTTCTCACAACCGTCTTCTCCAATGTCCCACTCATCGCACCGACTTCTTACATTCATCCTTTTTCGTAAAGGCAATTTTTCTGTGGAATGCGCTCCCCCTGGATGTCAGGATGGTCTCAACTCGACTAACGTTTAAGCAGAAATTACGTGAGCTTTTCCTAAAGAGGTTGGCTGAATCATCGCGCTAACTATCCACTGTGTGCTAGTAAGCAAGTATATATTTATATATTATGTATATATGTATGTATGTAGGCATATTGTACTCATGTGCAGATATACATTATAATTAAATTTATTTATGTATGTATATCTCCGAAATATATTAGTTTATCTTTCATTGTTAAATAAAATCACTGCTTGCCTCTTGCACCTACCATTTACTCTTCTCTGCATCACCCAAAGGTTAGACTGGTAGAAAATGCCTGCGGCATTAAGTCCACCTCTTTGTACATTTTGTGCATGAAGCATTTAAAAAAAAAAAAAAATAAATAAATATTTTTAAGAGTGGAAGATTCGTGCCGAAGCAAGGCGGTTCAGCACGAATGGGCCGGCTCGACCGGAGTGATACTACGGCTACACCGAAAGCCGACGTGAAGCAACGCTTGCGTTGTGTTTCGTCGTGTGAGTGAGGTTACCGGAGGCTCAATTACGCCCCTCCCTAGTCTCTCGAATCCCCGAATCCACCACAATCCTCAACTTCCCAATTCCCAAAAGGCTGGTAACGCACTTCTAACGCCTTGGTGTTTCGGGTGTTCATGGACGGCGCCGATTGCTCACCATCAGGTGATCCGACAGCTAGTTTACCGGCTTATGCCATAAAAAAAAATAGTGTAAAGGTTGATATTTTACCTCTGCTAAGAATATCAACAACGAATGCAAAGCTTCTAAATGTTCTTCTGGTAGCAGAAGTAATGCACATTGTACCGCATCTGGCCTCAAGGGTTCAGGAACATCTGTAGTATGAAAAAGAACATATTTTTAAATCTTCTCAGATATAATGTTCACTTTAATAATGAGAGAACGGGTGTTAAAGCAAACACAATTAGAAACATCAGAAAAATCACATACCCTAGGGTACCTACACGTTGACATAGGTAATAATAATATTAAATTAAAATTTCTCAAGATTGATTTTTAATATACAACTAAATGAATTCCTTAATTAGGTATTACCAGGAAAGAATAAGTTGCAAAACTAACCGGTATAATGACAAATTATTTCGAAAGAGCGTCATACTATAGCATCATTAGAGAAACATTATCGTCTATTGATATTGTAATTTGTTAAACGACTTAAGTACACGTATAACGTTATTTATCAGAGAAATATTTATCTATTGATATTCAACAGATGGTCAAGTGGTCGGGAGCATGACTTTTTTTAGGAACCAGCCCGCCACTACCTCCTAAGACCGCTATAACCCCTGTATGTCAGGATCTACAGTAGATGCAACCATGATAACACCGGAACACTAACGTCGGCCCGTCCCAGGGATATGATTAACTGTCTTGGATGAATCAAAAATATATAGCAAAAGTATCAATGATTAACAAAAAATCGCGGGAATGAACCACAGAGGGGTTCTTGCAGCGTGCGCGATCGCGGCGATGATGCGAGTAAGATGCGCGACATCGCCGCGACCGTGCACGCTGCTCATGAGGAAGAACTCCTCTGTGGTTCGAAACTAGTAGAGCTTTTCTCAGTATATTCACGTAAGTAACCTGCGATTTTTAGTTAATTTAATATGTCTCACGATAGTTATTATAAAAAGCATTAAATAAATCACATAATATGAACAAAAACTTACGTTGAAATATAGCAATGAACGTCTCACTCAGTTTATTCGTGAGTAAGGCATCAGGGAGCTCCCTGAAGTACTGTTTCACCATATCAGCAACATCGTGCGCTTGTGCTCCATCAAAGTTCAGACTAGATTGATTTGGGTCTATCGTATTTAGGTTTTCTATAGCAAAACTCGCATTTGAAGCCCCAGCTGCTTCTACCGTCGTCCGCAGTTTTGCAATTCTTGATTTCACTCCTGCTTTTCGGAATATACCCATCTGGAAATTGTAAGAACGTTGATTAGTTTATTTAGTTACCTAATTGTAGTTGAAAACAGTTGACTAATGACTATATCCCACTGTGTGTCTGTATTACTGGGCAAAGATCTTTAACGGAAAATGGATTTGGTCCACCCAGTTGCCTATTTCACATTTGTTAATAATAAATTACATTTTTGACAGCCATAACGTTTAAAGTAAAACTGCTATTAAACGAAAGTTCTCATTAATTGAGTATTTACATAAATTGACTATTAAAAAAGCCTAAAATAATTGGATGGCATTAACTCAATTCATTAAAATTTTCGTTTAATAACGGTTTTACTTTAAAGATGCGATAATTTTTGTTCATAGGAAAATCTTAAAAATGAAATGGTCTAACCTGATCCAAAGCGTTATTTTTAAGCCAGTTCAAAGCACATTGTATCGGCTTAGGTAACGCGTGGCCTGTCCTCTGCAGTGACACGGTTAGGGGTACACCAAACACTGTTTTATCTGCAAAGAAAAAATAAATAGTTTTAGCTTTAGTTTATTAAAAGTAGATCTCATTTAGGGGCAATAAAGTCTGTAAATTATGGACTTTATTAGTACGTTATACATCCCGAGTGCCGTGGGACTGCTACTTAGACATAGTCTATGTGTTTTGATAGACCAGTTAAGGATCTAGCCTTGTTCCTAATTTTATTCCGATCTCTTCAGCCGTTTTGGCGTGAAGGAGCGACAAATAAACATACCTACACAATAATTTTCGCATTTTTAATATTAGTAGGACTAATGGGACTGATAGCTAATGAAGTACTGAGAGATAATCTTATTAATACAATACGATAGACACTACAAAAATGTCATCATTATCAACAGCCTATAAATGCCCACTGCTGAGCAAAGCCTCTTCTCACACGGAAAAGGTTTGAGCATTAGTCGCCACGCTTGTTCAATGCGGGTTGGCGATTCTAAACTTATAATTAGAAATTATAGGCTCAGGTCTCCTCACGATGTTTTCCTTCACGGGTTTGTCAGTGGTGTTTAGATAATCTTAGAAAGTACATATAACTCGGAAAAAGTCACACTGGTACATGCCGTTGGTAGGTTTCAAACTCGGACTGTCACGCATGAGAAGCGGGCGTCTAAACCTTCGGGCCACCATGACAAAAATGTACCTACAAACATCATTATCAAACTAGCTATAACTACATAATGTAAAGAGAAATACTCTCCAAAAGTATATATCTCTTAAGCAACTTCGTCTAACAAAGAACATATAAATGTAATTGACTTTTCCATCAATGAAAGAGATTAGGTACTACAATTCACCCAATATGCCCCATTCACCCAGAAATATCATTCTACAAATGGACAAACTTGGATATTTGACATTTCTGGGATGAATAAACTTAATACATTTCTATTCATATTACGAGTTACGACCAATGTAAAAACCTTCTTGCTCTATTTAAATAAAAATGTAGCTTGTAATGTGAAGTTAGAGTCCAATTTTGAATGGGAAGATCTTTGAGTAAGGATAATAAAGGGCTTTCATGATTTAGGGGTTTTAAATGTCATATTGTAACATATTGGTTTTATTTGCTTTCCGATAACTTTTGTTGGAAATGTTGTTTTTCCTTAAGGCAAATAAATGTGCTAGGATTACGGAAAATGATTTGTTAGAATTTAAAAACGTTGGTCCTTTTCTATTTTGTACTTTTGGTACGTTTACTGATTGTGTTTTGTTTTGCTTCGGAATTTTTATTGTTTCTTTACTGCTTATATAAAATAGTATTTTCATTACCTAGTTGTACACTTGTAAAAGTATTTAAAATAGATATCTAATCCGTCATTTCTCCGGCTTTCTTCTACTATCATTTAAATAATATCTTTCTTTAACTGTCTAAATCAATACGCCTATAGAACATAGGAAAGAAAACAATCAAAATAAAACTCACCCTTATAATCAGGAGTCTTGATCTTCCTTATAAGTTTGGGCAGTTCCCAATTCCAGCCAGATTTGTGTGAGGGGCAGTAGCGTTCCATGCAGGCTGTCAGACGGAGGAGTGCCAGCTTCCTCAGAATATGGAGCTGTCCACATGAGAGTGAGGACATTGGTCGAGATACTGAAAAGGAGTTACAAAAATTACTTACAAATGTTTTTCTATGTATTTATTGGTGACTAATAGATTGACGCCATGCTTCATCCTGGTCAAAAATTTCATCATAAATGAGAAATAGATAATTTAGAAGATGTGAGTTCAAGTTAGATAAATTACTGACATTAATTATGATATAATAAAGTTGACATTTGATAAGCTAATGATACAATGCGGCATCGATCATATATAATTTAGGCTAAGAAGGTGAATGACATCATTGAAGGAGTGGAGAAGGTGGACAAGGAATTGGAGAAGGTTACACTTACGATACGAATCCGGGTCCTTCTGGTTGGGAGTTGGTGTCAACGTATTGTTAGCTTTAGGTCCTCCATTGAGTGCATTTGTCCTGAATGAGTACCATCGCTGAATGTTGTTTCTGAAAGTAAAATTAAACAAAATTGTATTTTTTTTAAATGCAACTGCAATGTGGACTTCTAGTTGTGTAATACTGCGAGAGACTAGCTATTAATTGCTGTTTGTTTTACATTATCAAACATTAGACAATCGGGATTAAGCAGGCACAACTCTACTCAGACCGCAATAATCTCAGTAATAATTTGCCTGATCCGTTAATCGAATCCATCCTCTTGATTACTTAACTTAAACAATGAGGTTGTAGTAATATTGTAAGAAATCTAAGTTAAGGACACTTACTTCTTGCTCTTAATATCCAGACTGTCATCGTCATCGTCCTGATCTCCATCATGGGACCTGGACCCTGCTGAGTTGGGGCTGCTGTCCAGTTCAGAACTCCTGGATGCCGACTTATCCCTCTTCAGACTTCTATCACGAAACCTAGAGAAGAAAGATTATTTAGATGGATGATAAACAAACAGTAGATTAAAATGTAAAATGAAAGAACTGCTTTTAAACGTTACATTAGGACAATTTTTTGCCTCAAAATGGTGGACAAAGTAATTAATGATAGTCCATTGTTTTTGCTGTTACACACACACATACTATACATGTTCTTACACTATGAGTATTCCGAAACGCACATAGACCGATTTTATAATGAAAAACAATTGAGTGGTACTTTTTACCTCGGCTTTTCGATATACTTGTAACCCGTTAAAGTATACGAAAAGTAACACACATTACAGAAATAAAAAGAATCCATATTTTGAAACTAATGACACATAAAACCGTTCAAAAATCAATAAAACCATCATAATCATTAGCAAATACTAGCTTCACAAACACTGGTACACAATTTGGTCCTTTAAGCACATATCAAGCACTTTTGGTCCTGGTATCCGCACTCAATCGACAATCTTGGTCCTTTCATTCACAAAAGAATATTTCAGCACCATTTTAACACTACTTTCTTCTACAAAATTTTGTATCTTACTGTGTCGTTCATGTTAATTAGCATGCCAATAATTTGTTTGACCATTGTCCATTACTTAAACAATCGTTTTAGACTAATTGCACTGGTTGGACTAATTAGTACTGACGCGGTAATGTCACTTTCAAATATGGCGGATAAGTGTCTGGGATAGTTTTTAGAATTTTTGTATTTCTTTTTACTGTTAGGTACTAGAGTCTTGAGTTTAGTTTTAGAGTTCAGTAGAAAAGTAAAGTTTCTCAGATTTGAAATATTAACAATAACGCATCGAATATTTTATTGATGCATGCTAAATCTATGACAAAATAGCCTTGTCATTTCTCCTGTCCATCCTTTGAACACTTGTTAAAACGATTAATAAAACATTTTTTTGAAAATTATAGGTAATTAATTTGTAGCTACACTCTTCCTTATCTAAACCGTGAAGACTGTTAAACACTTTAAGTAACAAATTAGTATCCCAGCCCAAACTGATCTAATATTATGCTAAACCTACAAAGGCCTTTATTGAATTTTCCTATCAGTCCCCATGTAATTAAATACTCACTTCAAAGGAGAAAGTTGTTCGTAACATCTTTTGAACAAATTGTAGAACATATTTGTTACTGAGTACCTATATTTTGACTAAATATGAATAAGTCTTGAGCTAGTTCAATTGAAACCCGTTTTCCTATTTAAATTGTTGGCCAAATGAGACCTATACTTTGATGTTTATTTATTTTTCCGTTATAATGAACAAAAGGACCAAGATCCAAATAAGGGTAGCGTATTTAATGATGCCCTCCCACTACGAATATTGATATTCACAAAATGACTAGTTCTGATTTCACGATTTGAATATCAAACTCTGAAGCGAGATGTCTTTGTCTAAAAGTGAACGCTTCAATTAGTCTTCAATTAGTCTTCAATTAGTCTCGTGCTGATGACGTCTAGAGTACAACTTGGGAGACTTCAAATCCCAACTAAGAGCGTTGCTTATAGACCGGCGCGCTGCATACCACATTGCTTTCATCAGGCAATTTAGTGGTCTAATCTGTCAATAATAGAAAATAATATAATAATTAGAACTCACTTTTTGCCATCGTTCCCTAAATTAAGCGAGCTGGTCCTTATAGCCTGCCGTCGGTGATGAGTGTGACCTGGTGACTTCTGGACTTCTCTGAGCACTTCAGGGTCTGGCTTTAGTTCCACTGGAGAAGGAGGCTCCACGTAAACCTAGAAGAAAATTAAATATTAATATTTTTCTACTATAATAAATAACGCCTGCCGATAATTTTATGCGGCAAGTTGACAACACGTTGCTATAAAATTTTCAACAGGCGCTCAATTTATTAAGAATATTAAATAACAAAACCTATTCAGTAACCATTTTTATGAGCTTGTAAGGAAAGTTTTATTTTGCAAAGTTATATACATTATCTAACGCTTCAGGCGGACATATTTATAAGTGGACTCCTATCTTGACATTACAGTACACGAAGATATTGTTAGCCAAACTTATATTGTTGTTTCATCAAGTTGCAAACTATTCACGTTAGTTAGGGTATACAAACTTGTACTAGAAGGTGTTACGTATAATCTTCAAGTCTAACAATAAACTATAGGTAATAAGAGAGAATCTTATCATTCTAATACGTATATAATCGGGTTTAATTTTATGGATTCGTATCGAACTTCAGGATTCGTATCGAATTTCAGGATATTCAAGCTTTTATAGAAGCTAATATTAGTATGAAGTCTTTGAAGTTTATTGTGAATAGTTCTATTTTTAGTTGATATTTTGGAAATTGAAGATTTAACGAGAACTTCATCAATGTCGCCTTTCATCGAAAATAATTTATAACAAAGATATGATATATGATAAGAGAGATCTCAAACCAAATGATTTTCAAATTAGATTAAAACTCATTTTAAACTTACCTCAGTATTCTGATGAGTATTATGATCCTTATAATAGTTATGTCTCCAACTGGCTGGCTGGCACTCCGAATCACTGAGTGCACTGGAGTCATCATTCTTAATCCCTCTATGGAAGATCCTCTTTGCCCTTCCCAATTTAGACTTGGAACTCTTATTACTGGACCCCATACTGCCATCAGAGGCGTAACTGGAACTGTCATCACCAAAAGGAGCGTTCAGGACAAAGGATTGTTCTAAAGGAGCGATTGGCGATGGAGGCATGACTGTCATGGGAGATGGTGGTTGAGTTCTGATAGCAGGAGCGTGGACAGGAGAACTATGGAAGTCAGGGAATGGAAAGGCAGTTGGAGTCGTAGGAGTCATATCTATGTAGCTCAGATCGGCATATTTATCCTGCTGCACGTCCAGAAAGTGCGGAGAAGATACGATGACTTCAGTCCGGTTCTGCCGTTTTCTTCTTCTAGTTTTGAGGGATTCCACTCTTCGGAGTAAAGCTTTGGCACCGTCTCTTAGCCTCTCGGAGCCAGTTCTTCGGAAACGAGTGCCGGTTTCCTCTTCATCTTCTTTGTCACTTGGTAACTGTATCATTGTTTGGCCTGGTACTGTTAATCTGTAACAAAAAACAAAATGTTAATTAGATATTTTTCTACTAAATAAGTCACTCATAATTCAGACTTCCGTCTTCCCTCATCGAAGTCATTAGAATGAAACTTTATTTATAAGTACATTTCTAGTCTTACTTTATTCACTGCAAATAATAAATTGGTATTACGATTGATTTATCTCCAGAATTTCAATCAAGTAAAGATTAAGAGATTTTAATTCTAATGTTTAAGATACAAGTCAACATTGTATAAATTGTATTGGTGTCTATTAAGAACTAAAGTATTCGATAGTTAAAACTAGACAATTAAATATCATAATCATTTGTCCCTATTCCTTGTAGGAAATATACATGATATTCATAATTACGACATACAAAATTACACCTTATCAACACAAACACATTATAAACTACGGTAACACCTTACACAAGGACATCAGGTCTACAAAACACCATGAACCACTCGCTAACTCATCTCCATAAACCATCAGAAGGTCTATTATAGTCTCAAAGTTATCCTTAAAGTGTAAACTTTGAAGGTCGCTGACAAAGTGAGAAGTTCTATGAAACTCGTCAAACTTGGCTATAGAAAACAATTTATAGTCGATTACAAGGGAAAATTTTGGCGTATATTAATTGGCGGTGTGGATCGGTTTCATATTTTTGTATTTATTTTTTACTTTCAGCCATGATCGTCCCAATACAGGACCTTCCTTTCCTACCCCTGTCGCGGAGAACCTAACGGGTAACCGGGGCTCCGGCTCGACGTGCATGAGAAGGAACGGGGTGGTTTTTAGTCACTCAGGCTGGAGCAGTCATTCGATGATTTTCCCCCCTTAAAAAAAAACCCCTCCTCTCTATGTAAAGCTTTTTTCAGCCTTTTTTTTATTGCATAAGCCGGTAAAAGAGCAGACAGATCACCTGATGGTAAGCAATCGGCGTCGCCCATGGACACCTGGAACACCAGAGGCGTTACAAGTGCGTCACCAGCTTTTAGGGGATTAGGAGTTTGAGGATCGTTGGGGATTCAGGGATTGGGGAGATTGGGGAAGGGGAAGGTAATTGGGCCTCCGGTAACCTCACTCACACGACGAAACACAACGCAAGCGTTGCTTCACATCGGTTTTCTGCTCGGTCGTGGTATCACTCCGGTCGAGCCTTGTCCAGCTATCCTTGTCATAGATGTCCAATTCATCTTCTTTCTCATTCGTTTTTCTCCATTCGAAACTACGCTTTGAACCGATTTTACTGCGGTTTTCAGATAAGTTTTTATTATACTTTGGAGAAGGTTTTAATATATCAATTAACCGACTTCAAAACAGAGAGGTGGAAGTCAGTTTTTTTTAAACGTAACGCACGTTTAAAAAAAACTGACTTCCACCTCTTCCACAAAACAATTAATTATTCCCTAGACTATTTCTAGATGCCTCGTTGGCCGAGTGGTCGCAAGTGTGACTGCCGGGCAAGGGGTCTCGGGTTCGATTCCCGGGTCGGGCAAAGTATTACTGGGTTTTAAAAATCTCAGTAGTAGCACGGAGTCTGGAAATGTGCCCGGTATATGGCAATAGGCTCACCCCCTATTACATGGGACTCTTAACATAAATAGTGAAAAGTGGTTGTTACATTGTACAGTGACATTAAGTGCCGTAATGTGCACCTCTGCCTACCCCTTCGGGGATAAAAGGCGTGATGTTATGTTATGTATGTTACTATTTCTAGATTTAGTGTTCAAATTTACTGCACCTTATGGCCTCGTAATTAACAATGTTACAAAACCCGCCTACATTAAAATAGCATTTGAACTATTACCCTGAACTCAAATGAAACCCAATTTTCACTTAAATGCAATAACATTTTAATATTATTCCAAAATATTTTCAGACGACTGAAAGTTACATGGCCTTACGAACTATGTAATGGCTTCAATAAAAGTTTATGTAAAATTAGACCCTATTTGAAAGTCAAAATGAATTTAACAACTTTTCTAATTTGATTCAATTTGTTGAAATTCATTTTCAAATGTGAATATAAAGTTATGTTTGAATTCCATGAAGAGGTAAGCAGTGACATATTTTTTTATATTATTTCTGTGGCATGTGATTGAAATGAAATATAATAATAGAGCTGGAATTCCAGGATCTTTCTGAACATCTTTTTAAGCCCGGAGGTTAAGACGCCCGCTCCTCCGGTATGAGGGTGCGTGTTCGAAACCTACCAACGGCAAGTACCAATATGACTTTTTCCGAGTTATACCATATGTACCTACTTTCTAAGATTATCTTGACACCATTGATAAGCGGTGAAGGAAAACATCGTGAGGAAACCTGGACTTATAATAAGTCTGTAATCGCCAACGCACAATGAGTAAGCGTGGCGAATAATACTCAAACCTTCTCCGTATGAGAAGAGGCTTTGCTAAACAGCGGGCACTTATAGACTGTTGATATATGTATGTATGTGTAAAATGTTTGTTAGTGCCAAGCACCGAATCCTCAATCCATGTGGTATAAAGAACCAGCGGGATCGCGTATCAATCAATTAACATAAGTAAGTAACGAAATTCAATCAAAATTGGTGAAGTTAAACGCGAGATGATTGTGAACTAATTGAAGCATAGATATCTATAGTTATATTTTTTAGTTAAAGAAGATCCTGGGTTGTTATTTATGATGCAGAAGCCATGTGTAAAAGCTAGTTTCAGAATGAAATAGTTTTCCAAAGTTGTATTCCAGCTGCCCTTTGAGTCTTTGTAATTAACTTCGCTTGCAGGATAATGACCTAGCATTAATTACACAGAGTAATTACGACTTAAGTGCTTTGAAGTTATAACCCTTTTTTGTTTACTTGTTCTCGTACGTTTTGTGTTCGTGACAGGTAAGTACAGGTACAGTATTACATCAACGGTTAGAGACAGTCGTCATTTGACGCAACGTTGGCGCTTCGTGGACACAATTTTGATTGTTTCTACACAAGATCCAAGCGTACGTCTTGTGATCGTTATGCAATCGTCAATTAACGAAAACGTGCTTATGACCTGTAGTTACGTGGACAATAGCTTTAGCTTAGGCTATGGACCTCCTCTACCTAAAAGGGTTTGCTACAATCTCCAAGCTTGGCAAGCGGGTAGGAGATTGCAATTTTATTTAAGGCTCTAAACAGATGATTTCGTTTTTCGTCGTTTTTTATTCGTCGTATTATTTCGTCGTTTAGTTAGTCTTGTCACGACTGCAATTGAACTGCAAATCAAACGTGCAATCCGATTGCAGTTCCATTGCAGTCATGACCAACGGTTGCAAATCAAATGAGCAGTTCGATTGCAGTTCTATTGCAGTCACGACCGACAGTTTCAAACCAAACGAGCAGCCCGATTGCAGTTCTATTGCAATCGTGTCAACTGCGTTCAAACAGCTCCAAACTACAATTTGCAGTTGTATTGCAGTTGAAATGCCGGTCCGATTGTCTAGAGCTGTAAAAGTTTAGGTTCATTTAAGAGTTCTTCAGCTTATGCTATCACTGTCAAATGTGTGACAACGAGTAGGTAATTGTCTAATGAGTCTGTATTATCTGAAGGGTATAACCTGGGTGTCCTCAAGGCGAGAGTAAATAGTTTGCTTATGGGACGACGTGTTCCATCGTAGACTGTATCATCGTGTACCACCAGGCGAGGTAGTGGTCAAACGTCGACCCAACAAATATTTATATAAAAAAATACATGCCTATGTAAAGATTAAGTAAGTTCATAAAATAATTTACTTTTCAAAGAAGGATAATTTCTATTCAAAATTTACTTTGAACAACTTCTCTAATACTTCTTCGTCACTTCAAAGAAATCAAAGTTTTTGTCCAAGTCTTGTGATGTGAGTGATGGCTTAATCACTTCTTGAAGACTAGCAAACTTTTTCATATTAAGTACTTATACAAATCCTACAAAATTTCGCCTGAGTTATATGTATTTGAACAAAAGAGAAGTTCAAAGTTGACTTTAGCTTTTATGATCCAAATTCTTAACTTGACTTAGGGCCGATTTTTCCAACGACATATAAATTGTAACTGCGGAATAACTAATTGTAACTAAGTGTGGGAGAGCCATGCTTCGGCACAAATGGGCCGGCTCGACCGGAGTGATACCATGGCCTCATAGAGAACCGACGTGAAGCACCGCTTGCGTTGTGTTTCGTCGTGTGAGTGAGGTTATTGGAGGCCCAAATACCCTCCCCTTCCCCAATCTCCCCAATCCCTGAATCCCTCAAACTCCTAATACCCAAAAGGCCGGTAACGCACTTGTAACGCCTCTGGTGTTCCAGGTGGCCATGGGTGACGCCGATTGCTTACGATCAGGTGATCCGTCTGCTCGTTTACCAGCTTATGCCAAAAAAAAGCTTTGAATATTTGACAATTCTTCTACACTAAAAACTGTCAAATGTTGTTATTCTACAGTTAAGAATTAACTGATGATTGAAAAATCGGCCCTTAATACTTACTTATTAGTATTCATTTTCAAATAAAAAAGGAGTAGATAAAGCAAATTAAAGGGAATTAGGTATTGGGGTTTGGTTATGCCTCTTGCGCATTACATACAGTTTGTATCCCCACAAGTGACATGATGATATACATAATTATTGTTATATGTAAGTAAGTATAAGTTTTCAAATATACCCATATGTATAGTGTGTATTGAATATTATGATTGTGAGATTTATTATTTATTATACTGGTACATTGCCTATTTATAAAGGTTTTTTAAATCACTAATTGCTACTTTCATCTCTGCACCGCTTAAAGGTTGACTGGGAGACAATGCCCAAGGCATTAAGTCCACCTGTACACATTTGTTGTATGAAGTTGAAAAATAAATAAATAAAATAAAATGATGAAAAATCAAACATTTTAAATCAGGGTATATCTTCGACAGTTATTCATATTAATATTAAGATAGTGGACAAACGTTGGCCCATCAATAAAAAAAATACCATGAACTAACATTACATTTTTTGAACAATGATATT